GACCCTTCCCTTGTTGATCTTGACTTGGGTGAGGAATTGCCTCTTGGAAATGACCCGACTATGGAAATTGGTCGAGATGCTCCTGCTCCTCGTCCCGTGGAGGAAGATCTCTACGATGACGTCCCGAAGTTCAACGACGACGATGATTTGGGACTGGACCTTGGAGATGATGACGCTCTCGACAAGATGGATCTTGGCAATGATGCCCACGACAATCTGAATGACCTACTCCCAGATGTCCCCATGGACTTCAACAACGATGACGATTTTGGTGGTGGCGAGACACCCCGCGCTGCCGACAACCGATTTGAACGTGACTCCGAAAGCCCCCTTTCTGATGCTGGATCTGATCAGATGAATCAGCTGGAAGAAGAATTTAACCGAGATGTATCTGCAACCCCCGATGCCGTTAGCGCCCAGCAGGGTCAGCGCACCAAGCGCCAGAAGCTTATGGGACTCGACAAGGAAGTCGCAATCTCCAGCTCTAAGATTAAGGACCAGCAGAATGATCGTTCTGCAATTTTGAAGCCTGCATCATTCCTGCCTCGTGACCCCGTCCTGCTCACCCTCATGACCAGACAGCAGAATGGCAACTTTGTGTCCAGTGTGTTTGGCGAGGACCGTGGACGCGGATGGGCACCAGAACTGCGCGGCATGCTCTCTTTGGATTCCGTTAAGAAGGCCGGTGAGCTGAAGCGCAAGCGCGATAGTGGCATTTCTGATATGGATGTGGCTGCCGTCGACGTTCCTGCCCTGGAGCTTGGTGAAGAGGAAGCTATCGTCCCAATTGACGAGGGCATCGCTCTCGATACGACTATGAACCAGCGCTCTGAGATCCAATTCCCTGGAGATGATGAAGATCACGTCTTGCATCTGAGTGAAGACGAAGGCATGAACCAGCCCATGGACGAGCTGGACGATACTATTGCGCACACTGTGGATACTGAGCCAGTCTCAATGGGCACCAAGCACGCTGTGCACATTCTCCGTGAGAAGCTTGGTAGCTCAGCCACCCAGCAGAAGAAGAGCGTGTTGTTCCAGGATCTCCTTCCCGAGCAGCGGTCCAGCAAGGCCGATGCCACCAAGATGTTCTTCGAAGTTTTGGTGCTGGCCACGAAAGATGCTGTCAAGGTTGATCAGGGCGCCAAGTCTATTGGTGGTCCTCTCAAGATCGCTGGCAAGCAGGCACTCTGGGGCTCTTGGGCCGAGGAGAACGCTTCTAGTGCCATGAGCCAGCTCAGTCAGGCTCTGTAGAGGATGTGTCCTCTTGACCAAAATTTCTGGGTTCTATTGGCGCATCTTTCTCTTCTTGTATAGCTCAACTTTGGGATGGTTCCGTGGAATATCTCGATTTGAGATCCGGTGTTTTCTTTGGGGATAGCGTTTAATTGAATGACTATCAGGAGTTTAGGGCTTGGAGACTTGGGACTTTGGCTATCACTTTTTGTTGGGGTTTTTGTTTGGACTACCTGGTCCATTGGAAGCGACGTTCATGAATTGTTTCTGTTGCGTAGTAGTGTTAGCTCTAGCTTAATTGAACATATCTCTCAAATATATCTTATTCTATACTTTTTGATTCAGATGTCGGAGAATTATGTATGTACCTACATGTAGGTACCGAGCTCTCTTCTGCGTACCACATGATGCATTATCAGCTCCCACGTGTTTACCAACGTTCTTGGCATCTGATAACAACCTATTCGTTGAAATATGACTATATTATATAGTAGGATGTAAGTAGAATTCTCTATGTCAAAAGCACACTTGACTCAAATGCATTGTCTGACAGTGCTTTTTCGAGTGTCGCTGGCGGTATTGTCGGTGACATGTTAATCCAGATGTTCGATGAAATGTATGGGCTAGTATTATGGCAGTGTGGCCTATGTTTCCTTGGTATGTTTGTTAGAATGGTTATTGTCATTATGAAAGATCCGATATGGTGCCGAAACTACGTTAGCTTGGAATAGAATCATGAGAAAGCCATGAACAAGGTCGATGACTTCCAGCCGGGCTGTCGGCTGCCCCCTGGTAAGTTTACAAAATATTTGCCCTTGAGAATGATGGTTGACTTTGATGGAAGAGCAACGCTGGGAGGACCTTGGTTACTATAGGTCTTTTTATTTTTGCCGTAAAATCTATGGGATTGCGCCTATTACCGGCAATGCTGCTTTTGGTGCACGGTAAAATTAATCTTAGGATCTCACCTGACCGAGTGACCATCCGTTGGCCCTATAATCCCTGTCTGCCTTATGGCTCTTTTTTTTTGGCTGTATAACGCCAATAGATCGTGTCACTGCTAGGACAAATCCTGGTTTATCTTCACATTGCTGGTCTATGCATGTCAACTTTTAACGCCAGAGCCTTTCCGACCAGCTTCACTTGCTCATCTTTTGGAAGCACATTTCTACTATTTGGAATCTTAAGTAAATTTGCGTGTATGACCTCCGTGCTGTGACAAGAATTGGAAGCCCGTGCTTTGCATGAAACGCATCTTTTCAATGCGGGTCGATGCGTTGTATTTTGAACAGGCCGATCTGTAGCCCTTCCTCAATGCTTGACAGCTATATTCTTGCCTGCACACAGTTGAGACATAACGATTCTAGCTAACGGCTATGCAGTGTATAAAAACCTCGGATACCACTGGGCAACTTCCTTCTTAGCGTTCCTGACCCTTGTCATGCTTCCCACAAGTGTTGATTTTGACATACTTGATTTCCTCTTACGCTATGGCCTACCAATTTACTCCCCCTGCATTTTAAACCTCGACCAAGTCACCTCAAACATGAAAGTTTGATATCCCAGTTGCATGTGGCTCTGACGACAGGCAACTCGGCATAGGCTGTTCTGTCCACTAAAAGTTGTGCTGACGTCCATAATAGGCACCTATTCTTTCCGTATGGGAGCTAGATCCGAAGTAGGAGCCGGATTGTGCAAGCATATATGTGATTGATACTTCCGTGCACATATAATACCCCATACATCAATTTTAAGCGGGTTGATTGCCGGGTCTTCTACGAGGGTAGCCACAGATCTACCCTCGGTGTCATTGCATCTCAACAGTTTGCCAACCGGTCTCGTCTGAACACGGCATCCCATGACCATATGTTGAGAACCTTCTAGGCTGAGACGTTTGGCTACCGGGAATGATAGGTTCAGCACCTGGCCTGCAACTATAGATTAGGACCTAACGCCCTCAGCTGCTGTACCGCCTGCAGTTCAGAAGCCAATGCAGAAAACCATAGTCAATAATACGCATGATCGGCAAGGATATATACTTCATATCCTGGCTCTACTTGATTTCATCTGTAGAGATCGTGCATATTCAATGTGACCGATTCTGACGCCGAGCAGACCATGAAGCCTTTAATACTGCTATGCTTGGCATAACATAAATAAGTAGACCAAGTCTATGAATAGAGAATGGACAGGCCTAGCCCCGACTTTAATTCTCCGACGATACCCCCAGTCAGCCAGGCCAGTTGCGAAGCATACGAGCGTCATGTGGTCTTGAAATCTAGTCGGCAATCATCCCCAACAAATCCCCTGTTTTAGGTAGACATCACAATGCCGACCTCAAGAGTATAGCAAGCGTCATAGCTGAGCAATATATTGGGAGCTTTCTAGCCTCGGCACAACACACTCCGCCAGCCTCGGAATAAAACGGGACCGCCGAGGACCATAGAAAGTCTGGAGCGGGGTTTTTCGGGATTTATTCGGCTGGGGTAGAGGAATAATGACTCAATAGTAAAAAACTTGCCCAGGTCCATTCAACGTTTATGGATTAAGAGAGAAGGTAATCAAGTTGCACGTGCACAATTGCCCCCCGCGGGGTTATAGGTTGGTATGCGTCGAACCCGATCTGGTGCAGGGCTGTAATTTAACCAATCAGAGTCTATGAACGCGCTTAAATTACCTGCTGTTTCCGGTAATTTGGTGAAAGATGTAATATTGGTCACAATGAACTGTCTCAACGCCATGTACATCTAGTCCTTTCGGTTCCTATATATGAAGTATAGAAGAACAATACATGTCCATCTACTCCTAGGATTTCTAAGATTTCTGATCAGACAAGTTCTTAAAAGACATGCCCAACATGGAATTACGTTGGGTAGCAAAAAAAAAGAAAAAGAAAAAAAAAAGAAAAAAAGAAAAGAAAAGCCTCCAAATTAATTAGGTAAAATGACTGTTTACAAAGTATAGCCTTGCGCCTTTTTACAAAGCGCTAAATTTTTTTTTAAAAAAAATATTATTATTAAAAAAAATATTCCGTCACTTTTTTTTTAGTTTACAATTGGACTGTGTCGTGTTAAACTCTTTGCTTAGAAGTCACGGGAACATCAAGTTCCTCATCTTAACCTTCTCCCATATCATTTGCCTTGACTTTCGACCTTTCCTTCCCTAAGCCACCTTTCGTCTCTTTAGAGAGAAATTCACTTCCCCGCAACCGCACCTCTCCACTCCAAATTCAGCCCCGAACCGTTGAGGCATTTTCTGTTGTCAGCTTTGCGCCAATTTCTCTCCTACAATATTTCCTACAAACCACATTGAAATCCTTCAATGTGTCAGATTATCGTATATCCGTCGAATCTCCAGTCGATTGTCCCCCGTTACACCCGCGACTCGACTCCCAGTGATCCCGCTTCCGATTCCCCGCCAACTGTAGTCGCAAACGCGCGATTATAGGAACCCAGGACCGCAGACCCCCTCCGATCTTCGAGAGGTAATTTAGGTGGATTTTAAGCCTCAACGCAGACGATTAGCAATTTGCGATCGTTTTTTTTCCCTCTTTCACAAGCTAGGCTAAATCTCGTGCACGTGAATCCGCTCGCCCGCCGAGATCGAAGCGCGGATGGTATCATCGGTATTGTCGCCACCACGCTTTGTTTCTTTAGGTCCAACACAAGAAGGCACATAAAGTGGCCTACGAGGTTTTGAAACACCGATTTACCTCACTTTTGTGGAACTGTCCATAGATCATTGTTCTCGGAATACATGCCGAAATGAATATGGAAGCCAAGAACGGCTCCCCGGTTCCTGCAGAGGACTTCAGTGGGGATCGTGACTCAGCCGATATTACAGAACACGAACAAATGGACATAAAGCCCAAAACGAATGGTGATAGCAAAGCGGACCGCAAAGCAGCCAACGCCAAGGATCCCTCCCGACCGCGACGGAAGAAGGCCCGACGAGCTTGCTTTGCATGCCAACGAGCCCATTTGACTTGCGGTATGATGATAGACTGGTCCCCGCCTCTGTGGGATATCCGACTAATATGTATCGGATTTAGGCGACGAACGACCGTGTCAACGGTGCATCAAACGCGGTCTTCAAGATGCTTGCCATGATGGCGTTCGCAAGAAGGCCAAGTATCTTCATGATGCCCCCGACGGAGCGTTGATGCCAGCTGTCAGTGCTAGCAATAACACTAGTCTATACAACACCACACTGCGCAATAATATGCCTATGTCTAGAAATGGCGCAAATACTGTCAACCCCAACCAGCAACACAGCCAACAACTTGGTCAACAACATAGTCAGCAGCACAACCAACAACATAACCAACAACCGACCAACTCGACAAGTAGCAACTTTTATCCTACGCCCCAGACACAGGCAGGATCTTACAATCCCTACCAGGAATCCTCCATGAGCCAAAGCCCTTTTACCACGCAATCACCCGTTTCACCTACTTTCAACATGAAGAGCAGCACCAATGGTCGGAACCCGAGTCTTTCGTCGACCGTGAACCAGCAGCCTACTCCAAGTACTGCTCTCTCTGGGGATACAAGTCAGTCTCAGAATCCTTTTGCAGGCCCATTTTTTGATCCCAGTGATCCAGCTCTCTTCAACTTTGATCTATCGAGCATGAACTTCGAAAATCGATACGGTGCTTTGGAATTCGGTATGCTTGGACATATGGCCACCGGGGCGGCCGGTGACTCTCCAACTGATTCCGCAGGACAGCGGGGTTCGATCGGCCGCAGTGGATCAGCCCAGTTCTCCACACCAGCTCCTGGATTTGGAGAAAGCCCGGGGAATCAACCTTTCATGTTTGGCGATCCCCTCTTAAATGATTGGACGACAGGGCCGGCCTCGGGCCAGCATGTGAATGTTGGGGGGGTGTATGGTCAAAATAGCATGCTCTCCGAACACATGAAAGCAAATGCACCACATGCATTTGCGATCGAAACTGGGCCAGCAAGTTTCACTAGTCCTGGCTCGGCCACAAGCCCGAACATTACAACGGCTACATTCGATGACGGCCCATTCAACAATGTCGCTCCTGCTCCCAAGTCCAAGTCCAACAGCCTGGTGCCGAATGGGCAACGCCAGGTGGCGTCATCGTCGATCTTGAAGCACCCAAATTTGCAGGTTGGCCCTAAACGGCGTCACCGCAATCCTTCATCAATATACGAGAGTGTGAAGGAGCCGTATGCTTACACAAGTGGTTTCCACAATCTCACTGCTTTCATCCAACGTCGCTTTACGCCACAAAAGACCGTACGAATTGCCAAGGCCCTTGCGTCTATCCGACCCTCTTTTATCGCAACTACTAAGACCCTTAATCGTGATGATCTCATTTTCATGGAAAAATGCTTCCAGCGAACCCTCTGGGAGTACGAGGACTTCATCAATGCATGTGGAACACCGACCATTGTCTGCCGACGCACTGGCGAGATCGCGGCCGTGGGTAAGGAGTTCAGCATCCTGACTGGATGGAAAAAGGACGTGCTTCTAGGAAAAGAGGCAAACCTCAACGTCAACACTGGTGCGTCAGGCGTACCCCAATCTGGGACAACGTCACGCGGCAGTTTCACGCCGCGTGGCTCAACATTAGAAAATGCCAATAGTGGACGCCCCCAGCCGGTGTTTTTGGCTGAGCTCCTCGATGATGACAGCGTTGTAGAGTTCTACGAGGACTTTGCGCGTCTGGCATTCGGGGATTCTCGTGGCAGTGTCATGACTCGGTGCAAGCTGCTTAAATACAAGACCAAGGAGGATATGGAGGTTGCACAGTCCGATGATAACGGGAAATGGAACAACCATCTCCGCAAGGGTGGAATTGCTGGCGAGGCTGGCATGAACCAGCTCGGTTTCAAGGATGGAAAGGTTGATTGCGCGTACTGCTGGACAGTGAAACGCGACGTGTTCGATATCCCGATGCTCATTGTGATGAACGTAAGTGTTGAACATCACGCAACCTCCCAGAGTTGATCTCATGCTAATCTGCCATCTTCTAGTTCTTGCCATGCATCTGATATCTTTTTTTCTATTTTTTTTTCTTGCACTTGTTTCACTTACCCTTTCATACCCTTAGCAAGGCCTAATATCGGGCCTGTCTTCTTTTCTGTTGTACCTGGTACATATTTCCTGTTTTTGGGATTGTACGTTTGAGCTTTCCTTCGGACTGCTGACCGACGGAGTCTTTTCTTGTTCTCGTATATATGTTATGGTTCTTGGATTCCTCCAGTTCCAGGATTGTCGATATGCTTTGTTTTTCTTGCGGCGCTCAAAAACGGACAAAAAGATATCTCTGGGGCGGGATCGTCATTATATGAGCACAATGCCATGATATTGAGTGGGGTCACTTCTGACCTTGTTAAGCCGCCGAACCATCTAATTTTAAACATAAGCTTAATCCAACCTTAGATCCGGTGATCCCGGTTGCATGGTAATTGATGCCTGGTTTCCCAGGCGTCAAATTATCCGGCGTCCTTATCGTGATAACCCCCACCAGGGAACATTGGAAGGCTGATCCGAGGTCGTATTCAGGCACACTCGATACCAGCATCACGCCAAACCATTGCTAAATCACACAATCATACATATCAAGACGAAACTATTAGCAGATCTGTTTCTCACTATCCACACTTTACCGTACCCCCACCACACAGAATCCGCCATGGGCTCCAACAAGCCGCGCGACCCGGTAGCCGGCCCCGACGCAGGCCCGGAACCTCCTTATCCCGTACGATTGTCAGGACCAGTGATCAAGGGATTTGGCCGCGGGAGTAAGGATGTACGTGCATGAATATAAGAAGGCAACCTAGCTGTTATAATCGGACAACCCAACGGGCACAACGGACTTATGACTGACTTGCTCTCCCTAATGGTTACAGCTCGGAATCCCCACCGCCAATATCCCCGCCGATGACCTGTCCGAGAAGCACCCAGAGCTCACAAGCGGTGTCTACTACGGCGTTGTAGCGCTCGACCCTAAAACATACCAACATGAATCATCCAAGGGCACATCTACTGCGGTGGTTTTGCCTGCTGTGTTGAGTATTGGCTATAACCCTTTCTATAAGAATACTGTGCGATCTGTGGTATGTGATACATAAGAATCTAGACAAAATGCTATCGACTGTTGAGACCGCATTTTGGTGGGGTTACAGACTAACGCAGTTACTCACTTCAGGAAATCCATATCATGCCCGCTCTCACGGAACCCTCGCCCACAGCTGCGGGGCAAGAAGGTCAGACCAAGTTCAATCGTCTACCAGACTTCTATAAAACGCGACTCAACCTGCTGATTTTGGGTTATATCCGGCCTGAGTTTGATTATGTCTCGCTCGAGGCATTGGTGGAGGATATTCGGGTGGATTGTGAGGTTGCACGGGAGAGTCTGCTGCGCGAGGCTTACAGATGCTATCTTGTGGACAGCGATAAAACATCTGGGAAAGTCAGCGAGGATCGTCGGTGGTTGGTGAGCTTTGATTAAGTGGGGTTAGATATTGGCATTCGGGGTTGAGATGATTATACTGCATTGCTATTATTTATAGCGCAGATCATTTCTCTGTATAGACATAGAAGAGGGATCCTTTTGTTGACTTGCCATATCAGATTCTATAGATGCATTGCCCAGGTGCATGAAGATTGTGCAGCCCTATCTTATCGCGGAATGCAACGTCGACGACGTCACCGAAGCATTGGCGTCCGCTCGGCATTCATTTTCACGTCTTGACATATGTAATACCAAGAACAGGAACCCGAGCGTTCCGAATTTGAAGCAGGTGTCATATAAACAGGGCCATATATCCCCCCAAAGTCCCAATATACGGCTCATCCAATCAATTAGACCACATTCAGACTATGGTCAACATATTCCAACGCCTCACTCGACGCCGAGCACCAAGCTCCGGTAGTAAACCACAAGACCAAGGCGGAGATACTACGGGCCCGAATTCCACGGAATCCCATCCACACGGATTACATCGGGCAGTGAGCACGAGCTCCGGGAAACGCAGCTGGCGATATGAGGAGCCAACCCCCCGACATCTCTTCCTAGTCTCCGACACTGCGGAGTTTGACACCCATGTAGTCCACCGCTTCCAGGCCGAAGGATTTGACGTGATGTATATCCCATTCCTCGGCACCGGGGATGAAGATAAGGACCGAAAAGCGCTGGAGAATGCGGTGCACGAGCGAGAAGACGAACTCGAGAATGGAGAGCGGTATGCGATCGTCGGTACGTCTTCTATTCGACTTTCCTTATCTCTATATACATGTTTAGCCATCCGAAGCACGCACCTTAGCCATGGCAGATATAGAAACCCCCCAGCTAACCATATATCCTAGCATACCATCGGCCTGCCTACCTCCTCCTAGCATCACACCACACAGTATCCAGCAATACAAACCCATTCCCACACCTATGTGCCTTTATAGCCTACTATCCTATCCCCTCATCCGACGAATTCACCTACAGACAAAGAGAAGACTGCTCGCCACCAGGCTGCTCAGACACAGGTTCAATCTTCGGCCCGGACTCCAAATTAACTTATCTCCCAATCCAAGTCCATGTCCCAGGACCACGAGTCCAGCCCTGCGCACTGTGGCCGTGGATAAGTCTCAGTGCCTCAGAAGGCGATGTCACCTACAAGAAAAAACACCGGTGCTACGTGTACGCATACCCGGGGTCCAAAGCCGGGTTCGCAGAGCGGGAAGTTGCAGAGGAGAAAGAAGGAGAGGTGGATGTGGACTTGAATGCTGATGATGAGATTGGCTCGCAACTGGCGTGGAGTCGGGTGATGGCATGTCTGCGCCGCTCGTTCAATATCGGGAGTCATTGGCCTGTTGTTGATATCGAGACTATATGGGAAGAGTACTGGGATAGTGTGGTTGGGGAGCTGGAGACACGGAAACGGAATCGCAGTTGTGGTTCTGAGTCGACGGTTGGGATGTTGACTGGTCATGGCCATTATGGGGAGATAGAGTGTCCTGCTGGTGCGGTTTTTGTGAAGTGTATTCCTACTCAGGCTGGGGGTGAGTTTATTTTCCCCTTTCTATTTTCTATTGTGTGGTTTACTGATATATTTCAGGCTCTGATATCTCAAGCTTGAAAGATTTCTTTGCTCATGTGTATATTCCTGCTGGACCAGTTGATCAGCATGTCCGTCTCTTGTCGCGCACTGTAGGTGCTGACCGCATCGTGGATGAGATGTTGTTTTCATGTCGGCATACTGCTGAGATTCCTTGGCTATTACCTGGTGTTGAGCCGACGGGTCGAGATATTAAGGTCATTGTCGTTGTGGTGGCAAGCTTCAGTGCTGGTCAGATTACACGCCAGAGTCTTTACTGGGATCAAGCCGGTGTGCTTGTGCAGGCTGGATTGTTGGATCCGGGACTTGTGCCGTCATCGAAAGCTGTCGAAGACCATTGAGTGTTGTGTGATGTTTTAGTCTTAGGTTTCTCTACTTTATAGATGATTGTATAGAGGTTAATACCCACATATATAGTGTATTGGGTAACAGCGCTCATTCTGCACTGTCCTTACCTGTTCTTTCTGTGTCTTTGAAGTTCGGGTATATAATCATTTTAGCAATAGAGGTTTATAAGTTAAAACCAGCTCAGTGCTTGAGAGATGAAGACGGAACTAAACCAACCGGGAGAAAGACTACTGAAAAGGCAGCGTTTTAGACCCCCGAGGCCCAAGGCATCTCAACAGATCTCATCCATATTCTATCTCAGCGTGTCTTAGAGACATAAAGTTGGACATTTCCAATCGTCCCTTTCTGCTGCAACCCTTCCAACTCAATAGAGTAGGCAGACGTGTTCTTGTCCCAGTCTCTAACCTCGTAGACGTTCCAATATAGTGCACGGGTATACCTATTGATCTACCTAAGTATACCTTGTATAGTATAGAGGGGAGATTATACAAGATAGACCGCCTTTCCTTTCATGTTTGTCGCTCTAGACCATGGGTTATTTGGCTAATGATTGCTTTACACGTAGTATTGTGTAGCTCACATTGCGATGCAGATTTGATATCATTGACAATATGTAGGAACTAATAGGCCCTTATAGACTAATGACGGTGTGGATATGTCGGTGTTAATAAATTGATACAAGTTTACCTATAAGTTTAAGAGAGAAGAACTTTCTTTTCCACATTCTGGCAATCTTCGTCCAGGGGAAGAAAAAATCTTTGTTTGCTCTCGAGTATTCACTCAAACTGGAAAATGGCCGGTCAAACCAAAGTTCCATTTGTTGGGGGTATGACTTTGGGCCAAGGGTAAGCATATCAAGAGAAACTTCTACAGAATGGAGTTGACCATACGGAATCATCTATAGATATAATTCCTACCTACAGACGAATTGCATGCATGCTGCCGTGGAGGTCGAGGTAGAAGACAACGACAACCCGTCACTGCATCAAGAGTATCAATCATACGAGATTAAAGAAAACAAGTATTATCATCACAGCTTTAGGAGCCTTGAAAAATTGAACAAAATACTAATATTGACAGTGAGCTTCTGCGGGAACTCGACATCAGTGCCGGTGCGAGCATCTCAGATATGGGAAAAAAAGGCGGCCGAACTCAACCTTGACTTCAATTTTCTCAATCGAACAGAGGTTAGAACTCTCGTCCAATTTGAACTTAGAATTCCTTATGAAATAAATATTAGATCAAGCAAAGTCTGCTCACCTATCTTGTCAAAGTGGATATCCAGCGACAGCCGAGCGTTGCAACCAAGTACAATTTCAACTGGGAACCTTCCTCTTCTGATTCTCAGGGCAAATATGGTGACCGCTTTATTTCCAGTAAACCATCTCCATTGGAAAAAAATTCTCCCATGCGATGACTGACACAGGTCAGACTTCATTGAGGGCGGAGCGCTCTTTGCTCGAGTTTCCATCTTGACCAATGAGAAGTCAAGTTTATACGAGCTTAAACAAGCGTGAGTTTGGAGACTGTGAGGCAAGACAAATACTAACATATATAAAGAGCTAAAGTAGTCTTCACTGCCTACGGTGCCAAAGTGGAACTCAATGACGATATGAAAGCGAAGATTGCGATGATACAGAATACCTCCGAAGTTAAGATTTACTTATACTACGCTGGAACGCCTGTCAAGGTTGAAGCGGTCGATGGTGCACAGAATGACCTGACACGTCTCAAAGAGATTGCCGATTCTTTTTCCAACAATGCCTCAACCCATAAGTACAAACGATTGTGAGTACAGATATTCTGCAGCTGGTAAACTTTGCTAAATATATTATAGTGCGCTGTTGGAAAGATATACCAATATTTTCAACTTCAAAGATGAGTTCACGCCACTTGACTACGAGGATGCTAAAACAAGGGTACGTGTTTCAACGAGTTCGGCTTTTAAACCGTTTTTCACTGACATCTGACTGGGCATAAAGAGCTGGACTGTCTTCACTGATTTTGTCGAGTATTCAGCTATTCAGGAAATGATTCGAGCAAGTATGATAATACCAATCTCACGGGCACCGGGTATTCAGCTAAACTTCATATTTAGTCGATTCGGGTAATTATACGAATGGTAGAAGCGACCGCGACAGGCTGGATGAAAAAGCCAGCACCCAACTGCAGGAATTTAGAGACTGGGTACGTGTCGGAATTATTGTTATTGAAAGGCGATTCTAATTGAGCCTTTAGGTAAAAGACGTGGCTAAAGAGCCTGAAAAGTGCAAGTCGCTGCCTCCGGTCCCTTATCCTTCAGAGTTCCAAACCGAAGTCTTGGTAAGTATTCAAAGAATCAAGATGATGGGTTGGTTCTATGCTAATATGAATTTCCCAGCTTGCGCTCAAGACAACAAAGTACATCGCTCAGACAATTCACCTAAACAACAAGAAAACCCACTGTAAGATACTCTCTTTTTGTTTACCGAGGTGTTCATGACCTACAAACACGTTTCTTACAAAAGCAGTCATTGATGACCATAAACACGACAATGCCGAGGAGCTGTTCAGTTTCAAAGCCTATGATTTTGGACAAGCCTTAGGAACCAGCAAGATCATCTTTGGTAAAAATAGTGAAGGAGATAGCTATATCTGTATGATGGGAAGAGAATCCATCACTGCTGGCTATAAGCAGATATGCGAGCTGTGGGGGTTCGAAAAGAAGTTGGAGAAGCTTGTTGATAAAAAAGTGGGCGTCTATCCTATTGTTGGAATGGGAACTATAGAGTTGGAGCTGGAGGATGCAACACCGCGTAAAGATGATGACTACAGCTTTTATGTTAAAACCTGATGTGGTTGAGATGGTAGGTAGAAGATAGTCCTTCGTCATTGACAGCTGACGCGGAGGTCGAGGAATTCAATCTCTTTTTCGGGTTTCGTTTAAAAAAAGGAAATCTAAGAAATCTATTTTCTTTGTTAACCTGTGAATAGAGTGATCTTGTACCCAAGCATTTGTATTGAATTATGCCTTTCTATGCTCATTCAACTTCAGGAATCGTCCATGAAGAGCTACCCTTCCTGAGCTAGGGTTAACTATATAAAGTAAGTGGCCGAGGCTGGAGCTAGGCCCCGGAGCTGATCCGAGCCCAATCTTCAATCACATCACCCTATCACCTGCTCTTTGATAATCTCAAGCTGATAGAAGGTGTTTCGGAAGTGGCGTTGACCAGTTAGTCCCAAGACCCTAAGGTAACCACTTGATATAGAGAGCCTCATACTTTAGGCACGTAATTAGTAACTACACTATTACAGCCCCAATAAGCCCCGCAGCTCACCCAATTCCTTGCTCACACCTCCAGCACTAGCCAATGTTTTCCGACTCGCCTCCTGGGCAATAGGAATGATATCCTCAATGCGCACGGAAGGGTCCTTGGCCAAGCCAGCCACCACAACACCTAGCAGCGTATCGCCTGCCGCATTGACACTGACGATATCATTTGCACCTAGAATAGCAGCAGGCGAGAACAGACGCATGTAAACGCCACCGAAAGCCACGTCCGAGTCAAGCGGCGCGCGAGCAATGATATACTGCGCAGACTCCGGATCCGTAAGACGGGGATCACCACGCGGCAGAAGCTGAGTAACGAGAGCACCCGCACCACCGAGCTTAGTAACAATACAGGGAATGAAAGGAAGCAGCTGAATAGTCTGCTGCGGAAGGCCCTCGTCGACGAGAGACAGCGAAGTGATTGCAATGAGACGCTCACGCGAGCCCGTTGGAGACATATTCATAGAGTTAATGATATGCCACCATCCTGCCGACTCGAAAAGAAGCGATTCCCGCGCAGCCGTGTACATAGCCGCTAGCTCGAGGCGGTTCGGACACGCAAGACTGATAGCATTATTTGGCACCGTCTGATTGGGACTGATTGTGGCGCCGGTACTGTTTGCACCGCCGAACAGACGTCGGGATTTGGCTGTCGAAACGGGCTCGAAGGCTACGCGTGCGCCGTGTTTGCGTGCCACTGCACTCCACTTGGCCATCACCTCCGGGCGCCAGTTGGCGTCGACGACGACCCAGTTTGGCTTTGTGCGTTCAAGGAGAGGTTCCCAGAAGCCGTCAAAGTCGAGCTGGGATTCGGGTAGTTCGACGATACCCATGTCGGCCATGGCTACTAGGAGGTCTTTTTTGATGTCGTTGATTGCGATGTACTGTGCTGTGCGGGTGCCTGATGTCGCTGGGAGGACTTGGATGCCTGCGGTGCTGAGGCCTTCTTTTTCAAGGGTTGATAGTGCGGCGCGGCCGCTGAGATCGTCTGCAATAACGCTGCAGAAGATGACGTCGCTGCCGACGTAGCTGGCCGCAGCCGCAACGTTATGGCCAACGCCGCCTAGGCTTTGTCCGATAATTGCTGGGTTGGATGTGTGCGGTACTGGTGCAACCTGTGTGAGTTCGTCTCCGAATGGAGTATAGTCGCAGGAAAGATCAATGGCTAGCGAGCCGGCAACCACGACGTCTGCCCTCAGCGTCGGTGTAATAGGTGCCTCTGTGCTAGCTGGTTTGGGGATATCTTCAACTTGTGAGGCAACTTGACTTGGTAGAGCTACACCTGGGATTGATGGCATGTGTCTATAGGGAAGGAGATATCGGAACTTAGCATTGATTGCATCTCGTATCTGGTATCTAGAAACAAAACTCACCGAGACCCTGTTTCGAGGTCAGATTGTTCAAGCTTGGCAAGTTCCACAGCTACTAGGGTTGCACGCTTGACATTGGACTCAATCAAGGCCCGATTAGCGACTACGCTCTTTCCACCGCTTAGTTCCTTGATCTTAGCAAGCACAAATGGCGTGTTGTCACTGCCATGGTAACCCTCTACATGGGAAAGGCGGATAGCTTCTTCAATCACAAGATCCATCTCAGCTTTGGGGACTGAGTGTTCCAGGGGGACGGGGTTGGCAAAGTGGATGCCGGAGGATACTGGAAGCTTTGATTGCGCATCTAGAAATTCTGTTAACGAGGCTGTAGCTACCGACGTATGGGGTATACTCACAAACTATGGCAGCAGCTTCAGCTTCATTTTGAATGACTCGGGGACTGCGAATACCGCTCTCTCGTGTAAAGAAAGCAGGGAAGTCAACGGGGCCGTCTCGGCCATCAGCGAATGTACCCACGCATACACCTTCGGTCTCGAGATATTCAAGCGTTCGAGGAATATCCAAGAAGCTCTTGCATCCAGAGCTAATCACCGTCACCGGGGTACGTCCGAGCTCAGTAAGATCAGCTGTAACAATTTGTCAATAATTGGGCATGCTGGTTTTGTTCCCTTGGTGCTCCCTACCAGAGATATCCATTGAGTTTTCTCCTCCACGATGCACACCACCTAGAGCAAGTCAGTGGGTTTCATTTTGATTGAACCTTGATCATTGAATTTACCTAGTCCACCAGTACCAAAGATCTTGATACCAGCCAGTTCTGACAGGATCATAGTACCGGAGATTGTAGTACCGCCGTGCATTGGCTTACCAACCATGCCCTAATATAGATCAGTTGCAGTCCTCCGAGCCATGTAAAAGCTAGCTCACCAGGCCACAGATGTATCCGAGATCTCTACGAGACACTTTCAGAGCGCTCTTATCTTGAGCTGTCGAGGCCAGCTCGATAAGCTCTTCCGTGCTCAGACCAACTTTGGCCACGCCACCAAGGATTCCTATAGTCGCAGGAACTCCACCATTGGCTCTCACAACCGACTCTAACAATGCGGCGAGAGCAATGTTATCGGGGTAAGGGAAACCTACAGCCGATCAGAGTCTTGGCTTCCCCGCTTTGGGGCGAAGTTGTTCAATCCCAGGAATGAAGACCGAAAGACTCACCATGTGTATAGATTGTGGTCTCGAGTGAGACAACCGGTTTCCCTGTAGCAACTGCCTCACGCACTTCTTCTGACACCTTAAAGAACTTGCTCTGGGCAAGCCCATGGTAACGACGAGCAGATGAAAGCGAAGCTCCTCTCAAACAGCTAGACCTCAGAGCAGCTCTAGAGGCCAGCATTGCGTGTGAGAGCATGATTATATTTTAGAAGAAGATTCAGCTACCTCTAGCCAAATCACCATGCAAAACAAATATGCAAGAAGTAAAGATGCGAGATGAGGAGAAGCTCCGGAGATCACCACTGTTATCAGTGATAAGCCGGAGTGCGCGATGTGGCCGCTTCGGCGCCCCTAGTATACAATGGGGACCACGTATCATCAGCTTCGCAAGCTTCCCAAGGTTCATCGACCTGACACAATCACAATTTAGGATTATTGAACCCTTTGAACCTCGGAGAAATTGTGTCCTCCAGGTACTCAGAATGAGGTTTTTCACCGCCACGGTGCTCGGGCTGCTCGCGCCCAGCCTGTGCGCTGCAACCAACCTTACTACGCCTAGTCGATTGGATCTTCCGTCCGGATTCAAACCTCCGCAGGTTTTCAAGAACACAAACTTGGTTCGGAATACCAATTTGGAAAAGAGCTATGTGCGGGAAACCATCAATGTTGTTGTGGAGAATGTCGACAAGCAGCCCCAGAACGACTACTACATCCCCTTCCCTGCCGAAGTGTTCGACCGCATTGCAGGCTTCGAAGTGAGGGATAAAAAGGCCTCCGAGAAGGGACGATTTGACGTGGATTATACTGAAGCTGTATCATCTGAGTGAGTACCAATTGGGAGGCCAATGGTCATGCCAGACCTCTAGCCTTGTGATGGGCGAGCTACAAACACCGTGACACCTTTCCTAACATCAATTGAAACAGCGGCAACCAGTACTTCGTCGTCCACCTTCCCGAGCCTCTGGCCCCGAAGTCGCATATTACCCTTGGAATCTCGTACTCGGTGCTTTCCTCTCTCAGCCCGCTTCCTGCAACCATTGGACAAGCAGACAAGCAATACCTCACATACTCCTTTTCCGCCTATATGCCATCTGCCTACACGACCGATACACAGAAGACCAAGTTGAAGTTTCCCAGCACCAATGTGCCGGATTACACAACCACTGATGGTCTCAAGTCCGGCTCGGACCCTGAGCGCAAGGGCGCCACATACACCTACGGCCCGTATGACACAGCTAAGGTAGCCCCGGGCACCACGTACCCAATTACCGTCCGCTATGAGTTTACTAAGCCCGTCATCACTATAAACCTTTTGGAGCGTGACTTGGAAGTCTCACACTGGGGCGGTAACCTTGCAACTGAGGAACGGTACTGGCTACGCAACAACGCCTCCGAACTGTCTAAGCAGTTCTCGCGTGTCGAATGGACCTTCGCCAACTACCAGAAAGCGCCTTCTTCGGCGGTTCGTGAGCTGACCTATCCGCTTCTGCCCGGCTCCGTCGACCCTTACTTTATTGATGATATCGGCAATGTCTCGACCAGCCGCTACCGTCCAAGCATTGGTAAGAGCGCGGGTAGCCTGGAGCTGAAGCCCCGCTACCCGATCTTCGGAGGCTGGAACTACAGTTTCCGTATTGGATGGAACAATGACCTTGCTTCGTTCCTGCGCCGTGCAGCGGGTGTCAACTCCGACTCCTATGTCCTAAAGGCCCCGCTCATTGAGGGACCTAAGATGGCCGAGGGCATCCAGTATGAGCGTGTAATTGTGCGTGTTGTGCTACCTGAAGGTGCTCACAATGTCCGCTTCGAGATCCTCGAGGGAACCAACAGCAATGGTCTTCCTGGCGTGAACCACATTCACGCTCACTTGACCTCTCTCAAGACCTACATGGATACCCTTGGCCGGACCACCTTGACCCTGGAGGTTGACAGTCTGACCGACGAAGCGCGTGACTCCAAGTTTGTGGTATGTATTAATCT